AGTGATGAGTTCTAGTGTCTGCAGAGAAAAGAGGTATTTAACAGTGTTAATATAACATGCTGTTCCAGCAACCATGGGAAATGTTGGAGAGCCTGAGATCACAACCAGTCTCCAAATATCCCTGTCAGAAGAGGGGCTTGGGTGGTGGAGGTGGATTGTGCACAGACTGTGCAGTAGCTTAGGGAGGACCCAGCAGGTCACAGAGCAAAGGTGTTCCAATCCTGTTGAAAACGGCTCTTGAAATCCTTGCTTTCTGTTTGTCAGGGGACTCAGAGGCCCACCCGTGCCCATCAGGACACTACTGCCCCGGGGGCAATGGCAGTGAGCACGGCAGCCCCGTGGCACCCCAGCAGTGCCCTCCCCAGACGTTCCGCAGGCAGCCGGGGGCTCGGAGCCTGTCTGACTGCCAGCCCTGCCCTCCGGGGTACCACTGCCCCCTGCCAGGTCAGTGCCAGGGGAAAACCAGCCCTTCCCCACCTCCAGAGCTGATCACAAAGCTCTCGGAGATGAGATAGTCAGTCATGCCCAAAATTATCCCCAAAACTCCTCCTGGCCACCCAGCCTCCCTTTCTTCTCTCCTTTCTCTTCCTCACAGGTCTGGCAAGGTTTGAGGATTATCCGTGCCCCCCTGGGTACTGGTGCCCTGGCAAAGGGGACACTTTCCTTTGTCCAGCTGGCACTGCCAGGACCCAGCCTGGTGCAAAGTCACTGGAGGAGTGTGATCCCTGCTCACCTGGGTATTATTGCCCGGACCCAGCACAGACAGGGCTGCCCAACACCCAGGGAGTACCTTGCAAACCTGGCTACGAGTGCCCAGCAGGTGACAGGACCTTTGTTTTCTTTATTTCCTTTATTCCCAGCCATTTCTGAGTCTAGAAGGCAGATCAGCAGGCACAGCCATGACATTTAGCAGTGACTCTGGTCCCATTCTTGCAGCAGCCCTGCCAGGACATGGTCACTCCCAGCCCTCCCTTCCTGTTCTTGTTTAGCTGAGGTTGCCAAAGGAAGTGGTGTGGACCTAGAAAAGGAGTAGATATCTTCATACAGAGCTAGGCACTGAGGTTTTAGCATTTTCTGCTAAATAGCAAACTGGTTTCCAACAGATCTGTGCCCTTTTGTGAGCAGTAATGTTTATGGACACTTAATAAAGCCTCCTTTGCTCCCTGTCTCCCCAGCCCAGAGTCTCTTGTTCTGGGTATGTCACATAATATATCTCTGTTCACCCTTTTTCCCCCAGGTTCAGTAAATCCCAAGCCTTGCAGGCCTGGCCTGTACTGTGATGCTCTCACAGGTGAGCCCTCTGTGTGTCCTGCTGGGTACCATTGCCCTGAAGGATCCTCCACATACAACAACCCTGAGCAACTGTGAGTACCTGGAATGTTGGTGCAGCCAGATTTCACTTCCTAAAAACTCTGAATTGTGCCTGGGATTGAACCTAAACCACAGTCTGTGTTTTCGGGCAAAAGCAAAGGAATCTTTGTAACTGCAGTCACAGGTTTGGTGACTGCTAAGACTGACTGGGGCCATTTATGATTTCTGCTCCTCAGCTCGTACCTGGAATCAGATGAGAACCGGTTTTAATTTTGCCCTCTGCTTGCACTGGTCGTTGAACCCAAAAATCAAACTGTTTTTTAGAGGCTTTCTCCCCTCTCCCTGCCTTGTTTTGCCTTCCAGGTGTGTGTTTCCATACTACTGCCCCCCTGGCAGTGCCCACCCCGTGCCATGTGAAGGAGGGTCCATGGCCCTGCCCCTGCCTGGTCTGAGGGACTCCTTGGAGAAGTTCTGCAGGGTCTGTGCTGCAGGGACCTACCGCAGTGCCCCCCTGCTCACAGCCCCCTGCCAGCCCTGCCCCGCTGGCTTCCTCTGCCCACCAGGTACCTGGGGCAGTGGGGCAACAAACAGCAGCTCAGACTGGATGCAGAGAGCTCTCAGTTCTGCGTGGGCAGAGCTCTCAGCCCTCTGCAGTTATAAAACCCTGCTGGGGGCTCCCACGTGGATTTGCCATCAGATTTACCCAGTGAAAGAGCTGGGAAAAAGAAACTGAGATTTGTATTTAAATATGAGTTTATATTTAAATATGAGTTTATATTTAAATATGAGTTTATATTTAAATATGAGTTTATATTTAAATATGAGTTTATATTTAAATATGAATTAGGTGGGAAAATGCTGAATGTTGATTAACTTATATATAAATACACACATATAATTTATATGTATATATTTGTGTGTAAGTGGGATAAGCAGGTGGTCTCTGCCCCTCTCTTAGCACATGTTGGGGTCCCTAAGCAGTGCCTTTTCTCTAGGCAGTGAGAGCTACCACCAGCAGCCTTGTCCCCGTGGCCACTACTGCCCTTCCCTGGCACCTGCCCCCCTGCCCTGTCCCCCGGGGACCCACGGGAGCAGCCACTTTGGGAAGCACAGAGGGGATTGCCAGCCCTGTCCTGCTGGCACCTTCAACCACCTCCCTGCCCAGGCTGCCTGTTTCCCCTGTGGCAGCTCCTCTTCCTCTCAGCCTGGTGAGTTTTTGTGTGTGTGAGTGAAGTTCCACCGCTGTTAAGAGAAAGACTAACAAGGAAATCACCTGGAAATGTGATTCCCTCCCGTGGTTTCATGATGGAGCACAAGCCCTGGCATCCCCACGGTGCCAGTGCCCAACTGCTCTTCCTCTGTCCCACCCAGAAAGAGAATTCAGTTTTCAAAGCTGTCTTTTTTTTAACTCTTACACTCTGTTAGCTGAGGGGATTTGAGCTCCTTAAAGGAAGGAGGAGATGAGTAGCTCTACTAATTCTTGCTCTAGTAATTCCTGCTCTATTATTGCTTTGGACTTTCATCAGGAGTACTTTAGCCCTGAACTGGGGAGTAGTGTTAAGTGTAGGTGTGCTTTTGAGCCAAAATTGAGCACTGAGAGCATAATAAAGTGGGGTGAAGGTGGAAAACTGGAAGATAGGCAGCTGTGCCCAGTGAAGAGTACATGTGCCTTACTCAGTGTGTGTGCAGCACTGTCCCAGCATTTCAAATCAAATGGATTTGGGATGTTGAAGCACAAAGAGGGGCTTGGCAGCCTTGACTGACCGAGTCCTTACCCAGTCCAGGGGCTTAATGTACAGATGAATGGAGGGCTTGTCAAAACTGCTGCAAATGAGCAGCTGGGCCTTTCTGCCTCTCTGCTGAAATGGGGCTGCAGGAAATGTCTGATGGCTGTGTTGGTGGAGTTGAAGGCAGGCTGGCTCCAGCTGCCTGCCCTCAGCTCTGCTCCAGCAGTGTCACTAAAATGAGCAGTGGGATTTGATGAAGGGTATTGAACACTGGAACTGCTCCTTTCCAGAGAGCACAGTTTTTATTCCTCATCCCAATCACCCCTCTAAATCCAACCTCTCCTCAAAGGTGCCACCAGCTGTACCTGCCATGGGCTGAACAGGGCTTTCCAGCAGTCAGATGCCTCCTGTATCTGCCAGGCAGGTTATGTTTACTATGATGAGAGAGGCAGGAAAGACCCCGACAGCAACAGCGACCAGGACTGTCGACCTCAGGTAAAATTGGGCTTCAAAACAAAATTGTTTTGTGATGTGCAGGAGGAGGGGGAGTAATTGGCCCAAGCAGTGCTTGGGGCTGAAGACACAAGCAAGTCCTTTAACTGGTTTTTTTGTTGGTTTTTTTTTTGAGACCCCTGACCCTTCCTTGTAGGATAATGGCACTTGATTTCTTTACTAAGACATTATGAGGCTAAATTTAAATTCACAAGGCATGGAGGCAAAGGATACTTCCACACCAGGGCAGTGGGGAGCAGCACTGTCTCATGTAGATGACAAATGCAGGAATTTAAGCCTTCTTATTGTTGATATGAAGTTCTTCATCAGACTTGCATGAGGGATTTGGATGGGAGGGCAAATTGCTGTGTTCTTTTTTGCTTTCCAAGTTGTCCTTTAACCTTGTTAAGGGTTACTTTAGGAACTTCAGTCAGTGATTCTCACTTTTTGACTGGATTTCTGTAGCACAGAGATAAAACTTGTCCTCTGTTAGACAGCCCAAGTCTTTGTTGGGCAGTAATTAGACGAGCTGGCGACGCACGGCGCCAGCAAAGAACTGCAGACACTCTTTATGTTGAAGGTCTGATGACATGGGGAGGGAGGGAATTTTGGGGATGCTGTGAGTTGGTCGAAGTGCTGCCTGGTTTGCCACGTGCTGTGGGTGCTGTGTTTGCAGGTGGACGAGCTCTGTGCCCCCGGGCAGGTCCGTCTGGCAGCCACACGACGCTGCGTCGTCCCCGCGCGCCACGACTGCTCCCCTGCCTGCGGGAGGGCGGGGGGAGAGATCCACGCAGAGCTGGGCATGTGAGTCATGGAATCACAGAATCATGGGATCAGCTGGGTTGGAAGGGACCTCCGAGATCATCAAGTCCAACCCTTGATCCAACCCCACCGTGGTTCCCAGCCCATGGCACTGATGCCACATCCAGTCTCACCTTAAACACCTCCAGGGATGGAGAATCCACCACTTCCCTGGGCAGCCCATTCCAATGGCTGAGCACCCTCTCTGGAAAGAAATTCTTTCTAATCTCCAACCTAAACCTCCCCTGGCACAGCTGAAGACCCAGCCCTCTTGTCTTGCTGATGGTTGCCTGGGAGAAGAGCCTGACCCCCCCCCCTGGCTCCCCCCTCCTGTCAGGGAGTTGCAGAGAGTGAGGAGGTCTCCCCTGAGCCTCCTCTTCTCCAGGCTGAGCCCCCCCAGATCCCTCAGCCTCTCCTCACAGCACTTGTGCTCCAGTCCCTTCCCCAGCCTTGCTGCTCTTCTCTGGACCTGCTCCAGGACCTCAATGTCCTTCCTGAACTGAGGGGCCCAGAACTGGACACAGCACTCCAGGGGTGGCCTCACCCCCCAGCCCTTCCTCACCCACCCTGTCACTGCCAGAGTCACTGAGCCCACGAGCTCACAGCGGGGCAGGGCCGTGGGAGGTGTTTTTGGGGAAGTTTCCATTGGTGGAGTCCCTTCCCATGGAGATGCCAGCCCTCAGCCCACAGTCACTGGCCCCTTTCCTCTGCCTGGAGAGTGTGCCCGTGTCCCCAACAGTACCTGGGCATTTTGTCTTGGGTGGAGGCACCAGAATGAACGTGGACTGACAAGGTGAGGATGGACAGAGCTCACATTTACTTCCAATTGCTTTGGATTGAGCCCCTCTGAAGTGGATGATCACTCTAGTAGGTTTAGGCCAGAAATGAGGATATCAATCCTTGTTCCCTCCCCCTCTAATCATAGTTTATATATATATATATATAAATTTTTATATATATACATTAAAATAAATATGGTCGAGACTGATCAGGGCCTTTTGTCCACTTGGCAGGTGTCAGTGCAAGCAGTACGTCTCTGCTGAGGAGCTCTGTGACCAGCTGTGCCTGCTGAGAGCCCCACGCATCTCCCTGGCATTTGGCACCGACAGGGAGCTGCTCCTGAGGATGGGTGAAGGAGAAGTGAGGGTAGGTCTGGGGGGAGGGAATGCTTTCTCAGCAGGCAGGTCTGGGGGGAACTCTTAAAGATCACAGCTTGGGAAAGGGACTCGTGGGTCCTGAAGTTACAGGGTTGGTGCTTTACAGAGAAATGACAGTTCCTGAACTGTAGGGGAACAGCCTCACTAGAGGAACCTTGTACAGCTGCAGTTAAGACTGGTCACAAACCAGGATCTGAGCCCAGTGTTGATTGTATCAGTAACCAGTGTTTCCCTCTGCTTCCCATAGGAAGTGGCAAATGTCCTGGGCCCAGATGAGCACGTGCAGAACAGCCAGAGGGTGCATTTGGTCCTGTTCAGCCCCAGTGGAGTCCTGGGTTTCATTGTCTCCAGCACAGATGTTCTGGATGCGTTTCTCATGGGTAAGGCTTGAGACCCCCTAAGAGTGAACCTGAATTCCAGCCAGACTGAGCCATTTGTTTCCTTTCAGGTTGGCCCAGTGGGAATTTATTATCAGATGCTCCAAACTATTTAGAAATTAGGGAGATACCTTGTTCTGTCTGGGATTAAACAGTGAGGAACTGCACTGACTGCACGGTTAGCTCCCTGGGAATGGGTCAAATAAAGATTGCAGGATGATTCTGGATTTCCAAGAACTAGAAAGAAACCCCATTTGGAGGCAGATCTGTTGGCAACTGTGTGCTGGCTCCTGATTCCATTTGCTGCTCAATTAGGGTGGTGTGGCTGAGAGCAGAATTTGGCCTTGTGAGCTGTAATTGCCCACAGGCACAAAATAAATAGTTCTTTCTTGCCAAGGGTTGGGTGTCTTCACATGCTGCTCATTTTGTAGGATTCGTTGTGGTTTGTTCTGTTGCCTGGCAGGAGATTTCCCATCAAATCAGCTGCTGCAGAAAGGTCATCGATTCCAGAGGAGTTCCTCCAAAGATCCCCAGGCCTTGCCCCTGGTTCCCAACCCTGTGGTGTGTTTGGAAGCAGGAGACACGATCCTTTTCCAGCTCAGCATCAATTCCCAGGGTGAGTGTTGCTGGGTCTGTGCTCCCTTTGCAGGTCTGTGTGTGCAGACCCGTTCAGGGCAGTGAGTCCACGTTTGCCTGTGTGAGCACATCCCTTCCCATCCCTTCTCTCTTGCCCTCAGGGGATCCCAGAACTGCAGTCTGGGCTCTGACAGGGACTCACCTCATGGTTTTCACTTTTTAGTTGGATTTCTGTACAACAGACATAAAGTGTGTCCTCTCTTAGGCAGCACAAATCTTTGTTGGGCAGTAATTAAACTCAAATAAATGAGTTGACACTCATTGGCCCTACAAATGAAACACAGTTCTTTGCCAGCCCAGCACCAGCTGTCCCAGCTGAGGGGGGTCAGAGCTGCTGACACTGTTCTGGACCCTTCCCAGATCGTGCATCCAGCCATTACCCTGTTTATCAGAAGCAGCATCTCTACAACAGCAACCCCAGCTGGGATTTTGGACCCTTCCGAAGGCTAAACCACCTCATCCAGGAGACTCACCTCAACCTCTCCTGGTAATACCTGCTGTGGATGACAGTGCATGTGTTGTGTTACTCACTCCCAAATCCTGGGTGCTGTCCTGGGATTTGGGAGTGAGTCTGAGATGGAATCAGTAGGTCCTTGGCAGTGAAAAAGTCAAATATATGTTCAAATCCATGTCTTTACCATTATCACAGCTGGAAGCTTGGATCAACCCAATGTCTTCTTGGCTTCTCTCTTTCAGGTTTGCCCATGTTTTCCTGGAGTCTGGCACATATGTTTTCAGGGATAACACTGTCCAGGAGCACTTCCTGATTGTGACTGTGAATGAAGCCAACGTGAGCTGTGACGCCAGAGCTGTGCCCTTCCAGCCCTCCTCTCTGTTCCAGCTGGCCAGACATGGGGTTTTGAAGCAACAGGATCTGAACTTGGCTCCCAACTGGGCTGCTATCACAGGTACAGCCAAAACACTGGGACACCAACCTTGAGGCTTAACTATGACCTTTCTTGTACTTCTTGAAGTGTGTTTAAACAAGCAATTTCTTTGAAAACACCATCAAACCACTGGCTTTGTCAGCTTTAATCCTGTTCTCCTGTGGAGCTCCCCAAAGTTCACTGCCAAGAACCTGCCTGTGTGGGAGCTCAAGTGGTGAGAGAGGGAAGGAGCAGTTGTGTCTCACCCCACACCCTGCTCCAAGAATTCAAGCGATTGAGGGTGCTTTGTTTTCCTTGGCTGGAGAGCAGAAAGCGACACCGTGTTTCCATGATAAACTAAACTGAAATTAAATACATCATTTCAAAGTTGACTAAAGGCTAAACACAAGGTCAGTTGAGGTCTTTCCTCAAAGCCAGACCTCTGGGTGAGTGCTTTGCACATACCAGTCCATCAGTGAGAGGCCAGTAAACGACAGAAACCAAAGTGTGGCTTGCAAGTGTGATCCTTGGCTGGGTCACCTCAGAAAACACTTTGCTCCTGGCCTGATGCACCAACCAATGGGGGGAAAGCAGAAGCCCCTGTAATCAATGTGAAAGCTGCTAAATGTTGGTTTGGGGCAGGATACACGGTAGTTTCTGTGTTTCTCACTTCTTGCCATCCCTTTCTGCTTCCCCAGCCCTCCTCTTTGTTCTGGGCTCCCTCACCGTGGTGCTGACAACCCTGGCCATAGTGTTCCAGCCTGCTGGCCCTGCCAGCAGCCCCCTGAAGGGCTGGAAGCCACGCTGGAGGAGCCTGGGTGAGCCACACATCCCACCAGAATATATCCTCCTTAAGGACAGGTAAACCCCCTCTGCACAGTAGGTATGAAAGTCTGGACAAGAAATCTGTCCTTCTGCTGGAGCTGGGCTGGTGATAACTGCAGTATCTGATTTCTCTGAGAAGAATGAGGTGCTCTTCACCCTCTTCTGTCACTCCCTCTAGCCTTCAGTTTTATCAGATGCTTGGTCCTCGAGGCTCTGGAGGAGATGCTGCTTCTGGAGAAAAAGGAACAGCCCCCAGTGCAGGTGAAGTGCTGGGCCAACCCCAGCTGTTCTCCAACTGCCTTCTTCCCACTTACTCCCCATTTTGTTGTCCTGTGTTAACTCTCTGGTGTGAGAATGGTGTCCACATTTACCCAGACACGCATCCTGCCATTCTGGGTCCCTGTGTTCTCCTCAGTCAGGCAGTGTAACCCCCCTGTGATTGGAATGGGGTGGAGTTTTCTCCCTTAGGAGTCAGGAGAGGAAGGGGCCAGCCCCAAGACGCCCTTTAAAAACGGCAGCAAACTTAAATGACCGGTAAAGAAAACAAAATCTTTACAAATATTTCCCTTGGCTTCTTCTGTTGGTCCTTCTTTTCCCCGAAGGCACGTCACTCCTGGGCTTTGTTTGCTTTCTGGGAATGACCTCACCTTGGAAATTTCGGGGTGTTCAGAGGGAACAGCAGATGGCAGCATGAAGTGGTGCTGGGAACAGCTCTGAGAGCAGCAGCATCCCGAGTTTTCTGGGCGAGTCGGGAGCTGATAGTAACGCTCTGCCATCCTCCCCCTCACCACCTCTTGCCTCATCCATTTCAGCACAGAATGCTGTTGTCCCCCACGGGCAGGCAGTGGGAAATAAAGCCCGTGGCCAGTGTTTCAGTGTGAGCCCTCCCCTGTGTTCCAGGAGAGCCCTTGGCACGGAGGGTCCTGGAGGATTTCAGCGTCCGCACCCTCTATGACAAGCTGGAGGATCAGAACCTGCACGTGGCAGCTCAGCTGGCAAAGCACAGGATGGACGTGCTGGGGTTCTACAACGGGATCAGCCACAGGATTCAAAGCCTTGTGGTCAGTGGGAAGAAAGATTTGAGCGAAGGGAGTCTTGGAAACATGACGTTTGTAAGATAAATGGTTCCCCTGAAGCGACAGTTTATTGAGGGATGTGTCTTCCCCCTTTCAGTGTGTTATTTTGGCATGAAATAGTTATATATAGGTAAAATAGTTTATCTAGTTAGTTAAGTTTATCTAGTTAGTTTATATGGTTAGTTAATAGTTTGTACAGTTTAAATAGTTTTTATATGGGAGGCAGAAGGTGGAATGGGTGGATTGCAGGGTGTAACATTGCTAGCAGAGTATAACAGAGTGTAACCCAGAGTATGACACTGCTGCTCTCTGTGAACAGGACATGGTGCAAGCACTGGACCCTGATGCCCTGAAAATCTTTGCCAGGCAAAGGATTTGTGGGCACAAACCTGCAGACAGCAGCGGGGCAGCAGAGGGTGATGAACAGGGTGATGAACACTGTGGGAACACCTTCCAGCCAGGTGAGAGGACCAGAGAGCAGAGCAAGGGAGAGGAGGAGTGTAAGAGTGAACAGGTTAAAAACAAGAGCTGGCTTATACACACAGAGATCCCACAAGACTGTGTCTGTCAGTGTTGTTCTGGAAGAGCTGGCTGACTCTTCATCTCAGTGAGAGGAGAGGGTCTGTCAGCTCAGGAAGAGATAAACACACGTTTATTTGGAAATGTTGTACAATATGAGGCACCTTGTGAAACTTCCAAAGGAAGGCTCCTGCTCTTGGTTTTGGTCTGGGTGTAATTGTAGTTCTTCAGGTGGTTCTGCAGGAGCCCATTTGAATTGTTTATCAGGTTCATCAGGTGCTCCATGGCAGGAGGTGAGAGAGTTAATGAAAGCTCTGGAAGTGCTGCTTGGGAATGCTCTGTGCAGGAATGGAGCTGGGAAGGGAGAGAAGGAGCACAAGGTCCAAGCACAGGATGCAGTGCAGGTTGTGCCCTCCCTGGGCAGCCTGGCCAGTGACAGGAAATCAGGAGTGCAAGGGCAGGTGAGTTGCAGGTGTCTGCTGTTGTTCCACCTCTCACTTTTCTGCTGGTTTTTCCCACTCGCTCATTTATTTAATTCTTGGGCCCTTTTTATCCCACAGGATCACGAGCTGCCTCAGCAGTGGAAGCTCTTCAGCAGGAAGGATGCTTTTTTCAGCTTCCCTGGGCATGAAGAGCGTGGTAAGGGCAGTGCCATAGCTGGGGGTGCCATGGGTGCTTTCAGAGATCACAAAGAGGGCTGGCTCAGTGAAGTCTGGGGTAAGACAGGTGTGTATGTTTGCTAAGAGAGCAAATGTATAATTACTTCTTCCCATTTTTGGTATTTATTTTCATGTATTTGTTTTTTGCTGAGGTGCCAGTTCAAGGGAGCCACTTCTGCCTCCTCTGTAAGAGAGAAGTGCAGGAGTTTTCATCCCTACAGACCCTTTACACCTTTATATCAAGTGGCCAACTGTAGACAGGAGAATGGGAGTCATTACACTGATTAAATGCCAATATGGGGAGGTCAGGAAGATTCTATACCATCAGTTCTGTGCTCCCCACAGCCTCTGGTTGGGTGTTCTCTCTGCTCAGTGCAATATTTTCCTTCCTGCAGCCATCCAGCCATGAAAAGCCTCTTCCTTTAGGCTTAAATCTTTCCCATTTCTCCAAGGTTTAGATCTCCAGTTGCCTTACCTGACTGAATTGGAGGTGGAGGGCCTGGTAGCAGCTTCCCCCCTTGCCAAGACCCTGTGTGAGATCAAGCAAGCCTTGGTGAACCTGCAGGAACCTTCAGACCCTGATAATCCAGGTAATAAATCTTAGTCTGACTGCAATTTCTGTTTCCCTGTAGTGGATAGAAGATTACCAAGGTGGAGAAGTTATCTCTCACCTCTGGTGCCTGATAAACATCAATATCTGCTGCAGATCATTAGAAAGAAGTCACCAGAAGGTCAATAAGCAGACATCAATGCTTGACTAATTCACACATGTGGATTTGTTTCCTTCTTTCTTCCACTGAATTAATTTTATTAATTCATTTATTGGCACCAGAAAAGGTTTCTGGGGAAAGTTGTACAGGCAAGATCTGTGATCTTTGGAACCAATTTACCAGCAAGAGAGTTCAGCTGGTTTTCTTCATATGTGCTGGCTTACAGCAGTAAATAAAGAGTTAAAATAACCAGGATTCTTCTGAACTGAACATTTTCCTCAAGCAGTTGCTGAATTTTTAGGCTGTGACGCTCGGAGTTCGAAATTAATAATGGTGTGGGTTTGGTGTGATTATGGGTGGATCATTTGCATTATTTTGCAATTCAGATCCAGGGGGTTTGCAAAGGCCTGGATGTGCCATGGATTTGCACAAACCCTGGAGCCCCTGGGCAGGGATCAGTGCTGGCTGTAGGTCCTAATTCGTGCCCTGTGGGTCAGTGGTGGCACAGCAGCCCCTGGTGCTCTGCTCTGCATTCCCACCCTGCCCTAATTCTGAATTTCTCTGCCAGACAGCGACCACCAAACCAGCGTGGGGAGCTCAGCCCTCCTCTGAGCTGCTGGGGCTGCAAACAGGGCTGGAGCTCTGCTGCTGGGATGGAGAGGAGCTGCCCTGCTCACAGAATTGAAGGGACAGAAGCAGAAGCATTTCATCTCCTGCACAGTACAATAGCCACCAGCTCACTTCCTTGAGGAACCTTATCCCTGGCAGTGGCTGAAGGTGGACTGTGTGTGTCTGAGGACAGAGCTGCTTTACCTGAAATATCAGAATGGATTCGTATCTAATTAAGGATGTATTTAGTCAAATACATAATGGGTAATCCATATTCTGTTTGCTTAACCTTGAAATGCTTTCACACTGCTCTTGGATTATCAATAATTTGTGGTCTGGAGAAGGAAGCTGAGCTTCTTGATGTCACTGATTTTAGAGTTCTCACTGTTAAGTCAGTGAAGCAGAAAACATAAGACCACAGGTGGCATAACTCCCCCAATTTATCAGTGTATTCTGTACAGCTTTTGTGATCTCTGATATGAAGGATGTTTGTGACTTTTTCAAGTATTTTAGAGCCACACTTTTAAGCCTTGCCCATCCATGTTTTCAGTACACTCATGCTGATCCCAGTGAGTTCTACTGACAGACACCCTCAGGGTCTCTACAGATGTGATTTTTCTGAGCAAAGAAGCCAGTTAAATTATTCCTGTAGTGGTGACTGCAGGGATCTGTGCAGCTGCTGGACTCCAGTGCTGGGAGCCTGAAATTAAACTGCAAACATCCTTCCTCCCATTCTGCTTCTGCTGACCTGTCTCTGTGAGGGCAGGAGAGCCTGGCTGTGAGGGGAGCACTGTTTCTGGGCAACAGGAGCAGCATCACCTGCTCCATCCTCACAATATTCCTCAGCTCCGGGTGAAGTGCAGCAACACAAGGTTTGCTGACTGTGAGCCAGCCCAGTGCCCTGGCAACCCCCCCCAGGTGGGATTGAGCTCCCAGAGCAAAGCCTGCTCTCCTCTCACTGCAATATTTACTGACTTGCTTGTGTGTGGAGAGGTTTGTGAGCCTGCTCCTTCCTGGTTCCTCGACACAGACCCGTGTTTGCTCCTTCTGCCTTTGCATAACCAGGGGGGGTGTGAAGAGAGGGACACCTGGTTGCCCAGGAGGCCAGACAGAAGCTCTCAGGTTTGCTTCCACTGGCAGGTGTGTCTGGTGGACCCAGAGGAGCTGCAGGGGGGGGTTTTTTTTGGCCCTCATCGACTCATTTTGCTGGTTCCACGTTTTCTGAGCTCGCTCCCAAACACAAAAGGTTTGTTTCAGTTCCTTTGCAGCTTCACCTTGGGAGAATTTAGGTACTTTACTGACACTTGGGAGGGACTTCCAGAAAATACAAACAATGCAGGGCACCTGTACGTCACTGTGGTTGCCTGTTGTGGAATATAGTAGTGGGAAAAAAACCCCTGTTGTTGCTCTCTTCACTGCTTTCTATTTTAGGTTATCAGCAGATATGCTTATAACAGTCCTACATGGAGGTAAGAGCCTGCAGTGCTTGCTGTCTCTGATATCCACAGGGAAACGTGGTACCCAGCAGGTGATAAAGTTATCTCTGGGATTTGGGGTTGTATTTGTAAAAGGCAGGGTGGAAGGCAGTAGTAAATACAATTTGTCACATTTTTATTGCAGCGGTTTCTCAATGAAAATGTTGTTTTCTTTTAAATTAAAAAGGAAAAAGAAGACATGCATGTGGAATTTTTGCTCAAAGCTTTCTTTATTTCCCCCACTGTGGTTTTCTTAACAAATACACTTCAGTTATAAGTAAACAACTCGGTTTCAAAATGTTTTGGGTCTTTTTTTTTTTTTCCCCCACAAAACCAAAGAGTATCAATGAAAAGAGCAGAGTTTCCCAGTGTATCTTTTCATGCTCAGTTGATAGTCCCTTGGAGAGAACAAATAAAAGGAGGAGTGGTGCAATCATCGTGTTTATTCTGCTTCTGAAGTATTTACTGTTGACAACTCATTTTATAGTGTTTTATGGAGTCTCCTGGAAGTCCAGCAGTGTCTGGAGTAGCTGTGAAGTCTCCTCACATGTAAAGGGTGCTGGTTCCCTGGAACTGCTGATAAAAGTGGGGGAGTGCAGGGTCACTGAATTTGGTGTTTGGAGAAGGGTCACAGGGCTGTTGGTGTTTCTTTGGTTGCCTTGGTTTGTGGCTCTCTCAACAGAAAATGAAAAGGCCCTTTTCAACACTCAGTGTAAAGTTCAGCCTCTCATGGAGAGCATCAAATGCTGCTGTGGCTGTGAGAAGGAAGGGGTGGTTGGGATCCCTGGGAAGGAAGGGCTGGTTGGGATCCCAGGGAAGGAAGGGCTGGTTGGGATCCCAGGGAAGGAAGGGCTGGTTGGGATCCCAGGGAAGGAAGGGCTGGTTGGGATCCCAGGGAAGGAAGGGGTGGTTGGGATCCCAGGGAAGGAAGAGATGGTTGGAGTCCCTGAGCAGGAAGGGGTGGTTGGGATCCCAGGGAAGGAAGGGATGGTTGGAGTCCCTGAGCAGGAAGGGCTGGTTGGGATCCCAGAGCAGGAAGGTCTGGTTGGAGTCCCTGGGAAGGAAGGGCTGGTTGGGATCCCTGGGAAGGAAGGGCTGGTTGGGATCCCTGGGAAGGAAGGGCTGGTTGGGATCCCTGGGAAGGAAGGGCTGGTTGGGATCC